CGGGCCACGCCCCCCGGCCACCCAAACTCCCAGCCTCTCCTTTTTTTCTTTTTTTTTTCCTGGGATTTATTTATCTTCTATAATTGAAACTTTGTAGCCTTGAGTGGACCTGAGGGCTTGGCTTCCTCCATCGCCGGGGGCAACCCAAATCTCCTGCTCGCTCCAGCTCCATGGCCGCCGCCATCTTAGTTGGGTTAATTTGCATACTTGCTCCTGATTGGTTGGTAGGCGTGGCTTTGCAGGTGTGGCTTGAGCGTAGCAGAGGGACGGTTAATTTGGATGTTTCTCTTTTATTATATAGGATAGGAACTAGCAGAGAGGACGTACCACAGGTACAGTGCCATTCCTTACTAGCTATCTTTGCCCTTTTCAGTACCTGTCCATGCCTCAATGGTAAAAATAAAACAGATGATAGCCACAGGTTTGGAGATTAGATCCCTGCTTTAGCTCAGCAGATGTGACCCAGTCGTTATGTCAGTCTTTTTAGGAGAGCTCTAGGCATTAAGTAAATGCTATCTGACTCCTGTTCAGTGCCAAAATGGGATAGCCTCTAGAGGAATCTCCTTTAAAAACATTCAAAGTGTTATTTCTTCACCCAGGTTTCTTGAAAGCACAGCATTATTGCCCTTACCATGCCTCCACATGAGACAGGTCCCAGCCGCCAGCATCCCCGTGGCTGCCAGTGGGACCAGGAGGAGGAGAGGCAGCCAGCCACTGAGCACGCTTCTGCCTGCAGAAACAAAACCAAACCAAATGACCTCATGTTTGGAATCTAAGATTATTACTGTATACTTTGCAGAAGTTTAGACCTCTTTAAAACCAAGGGCCACTAGATCTCTCAGTCTGCAGAATGGTATGTTTTCCTACAGTGTCCACATCTTTCACTCCGTTCTCAAGAGGGATATGGGAGGAGGCGGAGAACAGTCCTCTCAGATCACTTTGGCTTCCCACTCCATGTTTACACCCTGGTAACCAGAGTTCACATTCTTTTTTTTTTTTTTTTTTTTTGTTCTTTGACAAATTAATGTTATTCTGGGCACAGATACTTAATATCTGGTAAACAGAGACGGCATTTTTAAAGGCTGTATTGTAAGACTTGGATATGTGGGGGATATTGCCACCCCTCACGGAATGCCAAGGACCAGGTAAGCTCAGGCACACAGATGTGCTCAGGAACCCACAGTCACTGTGGTCACACATTCAGGACTGTTCAACACCTGGGTTGTCTTCAGTTGATTTGGCTGC